TTTAAAATCATTATGACCTGTCTGGCTACAAGGATGCTTCTCTGCTCATTAATCACAAACCATTTGCGTGGCTTGATACCACCAAGTTAGAGTATGTTATTTTGCGATTTGGTGGAACTGGCCCTTTAAGAATACATGGAAGATGATTTAGAGGAATGAAATCATGTTTGTTTTTGTTTTTTTCTGCTCTTTTTGTGTGTCCAAATTGTTTCTTATCATTACAGTGCTGCCTGAAAATATGTGCTTTCAGGAGACATTCTGTGCACTGAGTCACAGCCGTCTCTGCCTCCACTAATAATGGGCACGTAGGCTACACTGACGTGGCATCGGCAGGCTGATGAGGCAAACATTTGTGGATACGGGGGAAGCTGACAATGGAGCTTCTGTGTGTTTGTATTAATGAATGCCGTGAATTTCCCCCCCCCCCCCCTCTAAGATCTGTTTTGTCTCAAAAAGCTGGCTCATTATTAATCACCCCGCGGCAAATATGGTAGTTATGCTTTTACGCACAGTAAATAAAATCCATTTGTTTGTGCCGTTTTGTATCAGACGGCGTCATCCATCTGTCGCGGCCTCTGTGCAGGTTTCTGTTCCGGACTCGAGCCGCTGTGAAGCGGCAGCTTGAGACGGAGCCGACTGAGGAGAGTCGAGCAGGCAGCCGGAGCACATCTCTGCCTCTCCAAAGAGCCTGATTTCCTGCTTCAAATCCGCTCAAATGCCCCCCACCCCAAACACTGACCGACACCACCTGTCTGCAGGAAACGGACTCCTGTTGGCATGTTTAATTTCTCTTGATAAGCAATGCTAACAAACACGACAGCGTAACAATGCTCAAGAGGAAAGGGCCTTCCAAGCTGCAGCCGTGGCAATCACTTCTGTGGAATTATGTTTTCCTTTGTTTGTGTTTTGAACGGCCCGAATGCAAACCTCCAGAAAGTAGCTCCGGCAGTAGGGGCCTCGCCAAATGAGAGCAAACTGTAATTTATTGTCGGACTCCGGAGCCGTCGTGACCCCCCCCGAAGTTTCCCCGATGTCGACCTATTTGTCATGGTCACCGCGTCTTTGAGTCACGTCCGCTCTGACAGGACTGCCGATGATTACAGGGGAAAGAATTATGCAAATCTGCCATCGCGCTCTTCAGCAGTTCCTCTCAGACGAGGGCCGAGCTCAGCGGGCCGCCCTTTGAGCCAAATTCATTTCATTTATAGTTAATTTCTCAAGTCGCCGCCTGCGCAAATAAATACATGTATCCCTCCCACAGATATATCTACAAAGGCACACAGCTGTAGCTTTTTCTAATTTTGGATTATGCAATAAAGACACTCACTGGCTCTTAATTTCCCCCCTCTTTGTCTTAAACACACACTGACAGTAATCCCCCCCCCCCTCTGAAGTCAAGGAGCCATGTTTGAGCGTGATGTTTATGCTGTGATTTGGTGGCTGCCCTGGGTCAAACAGCGCTGTTGTGTTTTGCCCTGCAGGCTGTTTTTTTGTTTGTTGTTTTTTTGCAGCTCTGTGGTTCTGTGGAGCAGGGCCGTGCATCAAGGAGCAGGTGGGGGAGGGAGGAAGGGAGGGAGATGGAGGAGAGGAAACGGCTTAGGAAATAGGAGCTGACATTCACCTGGATGCCCTCTGTAAGGAAAGGAAGAAGTGGAGGGAAGAAATAAAAATAAGGGGGGGGGGGGATGATCCTGAGGCCTGAGCGAGAGACGGAGGGGAGCGCGTGGTTGTGGTTACTAAGGCTACAGCATGCCGCCCTGTTGGAAAGAGAGGGGTGGGGAGGAAGGTCAGACGGCTGAGGTACAACCAGCTAAATCAACTCTGAAGTGCGAGGTCCTCGGGGTCTAGTAAATGTAGCGGTTTCGGTTGCTCGGGAGGAACATAGATTGTCGTCGGGAATGGCGCCTTGTCCACGCCGTGGCTTACAGCGCACCCTCTGGGGTCTAAATCCCTCTGCTGCGCCACATAAAAGAGGATAAAAGACTTAGAAGGAGATGAGGAGACAAGTGCGCCAGATAAGATTTCTTTTATGCGAGCTGTACGCCTCGAAAACGCCCCCCCCCCCCCCGGCGTCACCGCGGAGGTCACCTGGCATTCTGTGTTCGCTGTATGAGAAGGGACCCCTCGGACAGCGTGCTGGCCCCTGCGTTTGACTCCCCCCGCCTCACGATGGTCACCGGGGCTCGACCCCCCCCCCCCCACACCTCTATCTATTGATGTCTGTATTCCACGACGTCTCGGAATACAGACTGCCGAGCTCGAGCTGTTTGGAGAAAGGAAATGATGCAACATAAATTTCAAGGCAGGGATTCTCTCAAGTCTTTCTACCTCTCCTCACACACACACACACACACGCACACACACACTAAAATCAATAGCCTTTCAAGAGCGAGTCAATGCAGAAAGTAATAGCGAACCAACCCAATGCTGTAAAATCACCACTGGCTCCCAACACACGGTGGGCATAATGTAGAAGAATTGTGCTTAAGCACGCCGTTGCTCTTTCACCGATATAGAATTATTTTCCAGGATCAAAACAACCCAGAGTCTTGTATCGAAGCAGGTCATCGCCGGGCCGCACCACATTCAACCAACACCACAACACCAGCACGCACAAAGGAGCTCTTGTTTGACTCGATTAAGAAATTCTGCTCGACATTGATTGGGCTGAACGTCTGACTAAGCAGCTCCCCACTAACTGTAAGGGCACTTTATGGGCATCCACATCCCTCTTGGTCAGGACGCTTCCCTCCCCTTAAAGGCCCAAAGCGCTGATCCCTTCACACTGTCGGGTGACGTGATTGAAAGCAAAACAAACTTGATTTGGAAAGCGTCCGCGTAACACAATCGTTTACCATGGACACGTCATCAGCCCCCGTCATCAACGTCATTCTCCACTGACTGAAGGAACAGCGTTAATGCTTCTTCCTAGCAATCTGTTCAAGAAAAAAAAATAAACGTCGGCATTGTACGTCATGTGTTGAGCGACTGCTATTGAACGTTACGTGCTATAATAGCGAGTATAACGAGGGAGAGAGACCTCTAAGGATAGGTGGGAGGGTCAGACGAACACAGGACTCTCACCCAGAAGGCCGCTGTTCGTGTCCCGTGGTAAACAAAAAGTAGACATTGATGGTACAGTTGTTAAGTGATGTTGTGACGCGAGTCACATTTAGTAAGAAAGTCTGCTTAGGGTTATGTACTTCGGTTATTTATTTACGCTACTTTTGTTTGTAACTTTACATTGCCACAGTACTTTACTACATTACATTGTTTCATTACGTTGTTATGTTGTTTTTGTTATGTTTCGTTGCTCTGTTTTGTTACGTTGTGTCGTCGAGTTGTTACAATATTTTGCTACATTATCTTGTTTTGTTACATTGTTTTGCTAAATTGTTACGCTACGTTGTTAGGTTAGGTTGTTACATTACATTGTTAAGTTAATTTCATACATTATCTTGTTAAGCTACATTTTTAGGTTACATTGTTACGCTACGTTTTTAGGTTAAGTCGTTAAGTTAGGTCTTTAAGTTACGTTGTGTTGTTGCGTTACGTTGTTGCGCTATTATTTGAACACAAACCATGATGTTTTTTCTTAAGTTTAGCTATCTAAACCAGCCAAGTTTCCAATTGTTAACCATGAGGAATTGCGTGTTTCTGCAAGCGTGATACGAAATGTAGTTATGAAACATATTTTGGGTTCAGAAACATCGACATTGAACATATCCCGTAGTTTGCAGAAATACACAATGCCAACCGTTCTCTTCCAGCGACTGGGTTGTGAATTAGTTTCTGTCAGTCTGCTTTGGACACTGATGTGTTTTATAACCCTATGATGGTCACTGACCTGAAGATAAGCACTTTTCTGAATAAATCACAACTGAGATCATGTGTGTAGAAGTATTTATTTATTTGCCACGGCAAGCACACTGTATTTCCAATTCTCTTATGATTATGTACATGAAATATTGAGCCCATCAGAGCCTGTGCAGTTATATCAGCCGATGGAATGCAGTGGAGTGCGTGGCCACATGTGCAGGTCGCACATGCTGACAGTGGCACTTTGGAGGCATTTTGTTATTATTAAACTTGATCTTCCGGCGGGGTTAAGTGCTGCCTGTCCCGTCCTAAGTGCAGCCAGTCACCGGTCCACACACCCTTGAACAACGTTTCTGTCCAGCAGGGGCGTTAATTCACTAAAGCACGTGGCAAAGTTCCTGCAGCTGTTATCGTGCGGCTCCAAAGGACTGGCTCCTGATTTTTCAAACAGATTTTCTTGGGACAGGAAGGGCACAGACTCCTGATCGCTAATATGTCATTTGTTCAATATGCAAAATGATCAGCTACAGGTTGTGGATCTTGAATGGGGTTTTTTTTTTGGGCTGCACATGGGATTGTTGGAGGGTTTTTCTTGCAGTTACAGAAATAAAAACAAGTTTACAAGATCACTTTGGATTGACTTGTGCTCAAAGATGGCGAGTGCCTACACCTTGAAATACCCAAGCCATGCCTTTCTCCTAGAAACCTTTTTCCCCCCAAATGTTGCCAGGGATGTGTTTTTTCTTTTTTTTCGGGGGTTCTTTGGTGTTTATAGTCGGAGAAAAAAAGATAAAGTCAGGCCGGTTGTCTCTTTAAATCAACCTGCAGTGTTGATGTGCCCTCAAGCTGAAATGGTAAGAACCATTTCCACCTCTGCGGCAGGGAGCCTGACCAAATAGGCGCACTAGAGCGCTTCAAACGTGATTCTCATTCCCTTGGTCACTTGCGGTCTATGGTCGCCTCCGCTCCCGGAGAGGGAAAGCAATTGTCAGTCTTTTTCTACGGGAGTTTGTGTTTTTCCTCCCTCCCTGCGCATCTCGGAGACATTATTTAATTTTTATTTCCCCCCTCTCTCTCTCTCTCTCTCTCTCTCTCTCTCTCTCTCTCTCTCTCTCTCTCTCTCTCTCTCTCTCTCTCTACTCTCTCTTTTTTCTTTTTCTTTTTTTTTGTTCCATCCGCAGAACTCAGTGGCAGTCGCCTCAATCCATTTACCGCTGGCTGGTACGCCTATCTCCTCCTCTGCGTTGCAATCTGTTGATAACTCCACTTGCAGGCTGCAGTTCATCGTGTTTCGCAATGGGAAACTCTTCCCTTGCACGGGGAATTCGTCAAATCTCGCCGACGATGGGAAGCGTAGGAGCGTTTCGACACCAGTTGCTTTCACCAAATTAGGTAAGAGGAAATCCATTTATACCATCACGCCCGTGATGTCAACGCAGCACTGTATCACCGACATGCTTACACAGACACGCGCGCACACACGCACACACACAGTCTATCCAGTTTGCTCTGCGCAACATGTTGACACACGAGCTTCGCAGCCGTAAAGCGTGCGTGTTGTTGCCAAAATCAAATCAATGACTTTCTGTAATTTCATTTCAGCGCACGAGCGTCCACGTCACATTCCACTTCACTGATGCACTCTGAAAAAAAAAGACTTCCTATTTTGAGTTCACGTGCCACACTTAACGCAACAGTCCGTCTGACACTTGAGCGATGTCTACGCGAGGCTCGCGCGCGCGCGTGTTTTGTATGTCGGACGCGCGCGCCCGTGTCCACGCTCCTCTTTTGGCAACATAGCACTTACAGACTTTCCACTTGGGTTCCTTAATTGAATGTCTTGCCTTTTCTCCCCCCCCACACACACCTCTCCTCCGTACAGATGGGTGCAGCCTCGGGAGCGCCGTGCACTCCGTTACCATCGCTCTCAGGCACTTCGCGCTGGGTGTAGACCCCACCGCCGCCTACTGGGATTTTGACCTGCTGGATGGACACGGCGGCTGGAGGGCAGAGGGCTGCCACATAACGGGCTCCGGGGGCAACACGACCACCATTCACTGCACCCACCACAATAACTTTGCCGTGCTAATGGTGAGTAGTCTGCCGTGCGGTGTGTACGGTGTCATTCATTTGTATAGCACCCACCATGCCCCCTCCCACCCACCCTCCACCACCCCTCCCACCCACATAAAGTGTCTCCCACTGCTTAGGGCCTTTTTATGGCTCAAATGAATCTCCTTTTTTTTTCTTTCACCACCACCACCACGGAATAGATGGAGTCACATGTTTTAAGAGGCACTTCGTGCAGGGGACCTTTAACGGCATCCTTTATTGCTGCTCCTCAGCAGAGGGGAAGGATTTGTCAAATGCGCTACGGGGATTTATTGGCTTTGGAGTAATGCGCTACGCTAAATTCTCCCTCCCCCCTCTCTGTATCCTGGAAATGAGAAGTTGCGTGTGTTGTATAGTCTGCCACCTTTTTTTTTTTTTTCTTCAAAAAAGGCAGCACAGCAGCAGCTGAAATAGCAGCGAGGAGCGAGAGAAGGAGCGCCTTGTCAGGAGCTATTCGCCTCCGAGCGCAAGTGGTGTGCTAATTGGTCGCAACCATCGCAAAAAAAAAAACCACCAAAAAAAACCAAAACATGTTGGACTGTAAAGCATAGCGTCGCTCATTCTTGTGTCTCGACGTCGGGCCGAGATGCCTTCTCCCGACGACGTCCCGCTGCTCACATTGATTTCATGAGGATAATACACCAAAAGCGCAATGGCATCGCATCGCCCAGTCGCTCCGTAGAGCCGCTGCGCCTGGTCCGCTCTTTTTTGGATGAAAAGAAATCCTCCGGATGTTTACCGAAGAGTGGGATTCGTTAGACTGGGAGGTCAGTTCTCCGTAGAGCATGAATTTAAACAAAAAAAAGAAAGTGTTGTTCTTGAGATGTCGCTGCTTTTCGAGTTGCCTTTTTTCATTTTTTTTATAGCTGCATATTTTAAGAAGCCGCTGTTCAATTCCGTTGTTGTTCGTGTGTGGAAATAAGCTTGCTTCGGATGAGAGGAGAGGGAAGGAAAAAAAAAAAGCCGCATAGGAATGAAAAAGAGTGGGGCACGGAGGTAAAGCGGCGGCGTGAGGAACGGCACGGGGTGCTGTGTGTGTGTGTGTGTGTGTGTGTGTGGTGGGGGGGGGGGGGGGGG